GTTCGATCTGACGGACGATGTTACTCAGTCTTTGGCGGAAGCCTATCGTCAGGACCAGTTTATGTCTGAGATCATACGCAGACTTGAGGCGAAGGATAAAAAGACCTTCGCCGAGTTTAAGTTGGTCAATGGATTGTTGTTCCTAGAGAAGGCAGGGAATAAACGCTTGTGCGTTCCAAATAGCGAGTCTTTGCGTAGTTTGTTTTTAGGCGAGTGTCATGATGCCACCGGCCATTTCGGGTACAAGAAGACCGCAGCCAACTTGTTGCAGCGGTTTTTGTGGCCAACGATGATGAAAGATGCACAACTGTACGTGGAAACTTGTCAAGTATGCCAGAGAAACAAGCCCCGTAGTTAGGCTCCTCTTGGGCTGCTTAAGCCCCTTCCGATTCCGGAAAGGCCGGGTGAAAGTTTATCCATGGACTTCATGGATACGCTGGTCGCCAGCAAGAGTGGGATGAGACAAATTTTTGTCATCGTGGATAGGTTTAGTAAGATTGCTAGATTAATAGCTATGCCAGAAACAGCAAAGACCGAATACGTGATCAGGTTATTTAAAGAAAACTGGGTTAGAGACTTCGGACTGCCGAAGTCTATAGTCAGTGACAGGGACGTCAGGTTCACGAGTGAATTATGGAAGGCCGCTGCAGCTGAACAAGGAACTCAACAGCAGATGACCTCTGGAAATCATCCAGAAGCTAATGGCCAGGCTGAACAAATGAATCGCGTTGTGCAACACCTGTTGAGGCACTACATCAAGCCCAATCAGGTAGACTGGGACGAAAAGCTTGCTCTAGTCACTAGTCTATATAACAACGCTGTGCACAGTGCTACCGGGACGAGTCCTAACAGTCTACAACTGACATTCAAGCCTAGACTGCCCTTAGATTTCCTACTTCGAGACAACCAACCGACTGCTACACCGGGCACTCTGGAGTTCGCCTATAGATATGAACAGAAGATGCAGGAGGCTGTAGAACACATGCAGAAGGCACAGGCAGCAATGATAGAGTCTGAGAATAGACACCGCCGCCCTTCTACATTTCAGGTAGGGGACATAGTCTGGGTCAAATCTTCAGAACTGGGACAGGAGTTCGGGATATCCCGCAAACTCATGCCTCAGTACTTTGGACCCTGGGAAGTTTTAGACGTAGTAGGGACAGATCCTGATGGTCCATCATATGTCATCCGTATCCCTGGTCATCTCATAACTTACCCAGTCTTTCACGCCTCTAAGCTCGCTGCATTCAAGGAAACTGATCAGTTTCCCTCTCGTCGATCCATGTTGCCCCCAACCATGGACGGAGAAGTCGACATCGATGATATCGTTGACCACAGGGAGATGCCTGTTCAAAAGCCTCCAGGAAGGGGACGTCCTCCAAAGCCAAAGCTGCAGTTCCGAGTCCACTTCAGACATCATACAGATCCGAAGGAGGACCGCTGGTTTACTCGGGAGGAACTGATACAGACCGCTCCTCAAATCGTTGTCCGCTATGAGAAGGATGTACTGAAAGGAAAGCGCCAGATGGCTACAGATTGATCTTCGAAGAGGACTAACGAAGATATGGAGGAGGGAATGCGAGGCTACGCCCGCTTAGCCCTACGGGGCCCTATCTGCAACAAGGTCGGCCGCCCTAAGTGAAGGCAGGCACGACAGGCCCTTCGGGCCTCATTCTTCAGGGTACCCCGCAACGGGGAAATTCAAACAGTTGCGTTGCGCCAGTTGGTTGAATGAATCCAGGCCCTGGGCCGCCTGTGTAAATGAATGTGAAGCAGGCCCTGGGCTGGATATGGGTACCGGGCCAAACACAGGCCGAAAGCAGTTGGGCGCATGCAACCACTCCAGACCCAAGGCCTGCTCTCTTCGTGACTGGGCCTGTGCCTACCGGGTAGGCAACTCCAGACCCAAGGCCTGCTCTCTTCGTGACTGGGCCTGTGCCTACCGGGGCCTACCGGAAGCTTCCTGGACTGGACGCAGGCAGGGCACTTCGATATAGGGAAGGGCCTGCCTCCTCATTCGACATTCGGGTGCTGGCTGCATGCTTCGTGAGCGCTGCTCCGCAATCCGCTGGCTGGCTGGCACTCACGCTCTCACGGKCGAGTAGGAGGGAGCACGCAGCCATAGCCAAGCTGCGCTGCTGTATGCTAGGTGAAGCGCAGGGTGGTCCTTGGGGTGCTAGTGACATTTGTGCGGTGTGGATCGGGGTTGTGAGTGTTACGAGAGACATACCTGGTGCTGAAGCGTGCGACATTGGTCGCCATGTGCTCGTACTTCGGGAACGCTGTTGATGTCATCATTCTGCTTCGTAGTATAGGTTAGATAGGATCTGCCACCTGTAGTCTGGGCGCCGAGCGCCAATAGGATATCAACTCTGGTTCGTATTTGATGATGATGGGACTACTCTTGGTGTGTTTTTATTTGGTGTATTTCGTGATGCCAGTCTGCTGTGGTTCGAGGTCAAGACTATCTGGGCTCATATGCATGATGCTGTTTGATTGCTGAAGTTCGCTAATGCTCATCTTCCTTGCACTGTGCCAGTCAGGCTCGGAAAAGTGCAACTTTTGGTTCGTCAATTTACCTCCGTGTGAACTGGTGGTATAACGTGGGGATGGGTGGGGTAGGTGGCCTGTCCTGTCAGGACACATTGGCTGCTGCTACCGGCAATCACGGCGGGTCTGGTCCTTGGCCTCTTTTTTTTTTTTCTAAGCTATATTCTTCTCTCAATTTCACCTCACACTACCTACCTACCACTACTCCTAATTGTAGGCATACGGGGAACCCCGTAGAAGCCAGAACCGTGTTCATGAGAGAACATGCGGGGGCTCCTCCCGACCTGCAGGTGGGCGATACTGGCTATGGGACAGCCTGTAGCATCAGGGACCATGCCAACAGGACCAATCCTTGTGCCTCCCCTCAGGTTCCCTCCCCTACAAACATCAGCAGACTCTGCTCAATGTCGATCGGGGGATCCAATGGTCTATCTCTAGGTGGCAGGCGCCAAGCATGCCCAAGAAGGTACATGAGGCCAATGGGGATTGAACCCACAGCCTCCTGAATGCCACTTGCGAGCCTTACCAACTGAGGTAGGCCACTGGATGGTCCTTGGCCTCAACAACACCCTGGGCTATAAAAATAAAAATAAAAACGTTGCCATATGTTTTGTATTTTGTGCATGTGGTCAGTAGTGGCCCTCAAGGCCACTGCAAATGTGCAGAATTAGAATGAATCTTCTGCAAGAACGCCACCATATGTTTTGTCTTTTGTGCATGTGGTGAGTAGAGGCCCTTAGGGCCACTGCACGTATACCTAAGAAAAGACAAACGAGAAAAAACAGATGAAAAATTAGAAAGAAAAAAAAAACGGGAAAACAAAAGAAAAACGAGAAACAAAAGAAAAATGAGAAAACAGAGAATTAGTGACCCATAACTGTGCTGCACAGAGTGCCACAGACCTGAATTCGAATCCATACTATATATTCTCGGCCCACCCAGGCAGTTTCCAAGTCTAATGTCCATCTCTGCTCCATGAGGGGTCCTCACTAATCCGCAGGGGCCCTTCGGAAATGAGACTGGACGACTAGGTTGGAGCATTTGTAAAGAAAAAAAAAAAAAAAAAAAAAAAGGAAA